TGATGTGCAAAATCTGTCCAGCAACCTCTCCGAGGTGCATGTCGGGTAATGCTAATGCCCGCGGTATATGCCATAAATGCAAGGGTTTCTTTAAAGTTCTGTATCTTTGCGGGAAAAAATGGTAGCGGTTTTTCACATACTGGAAATTAAAGATGAAGGTTTGTACTTTATGCTGCTGTAAACAGTATCACCAAAAAAAAATGTGGCAAGTCCATGCATTTCGTCAAACTTTGTAATTTTCAATATTGCAAACATGATCTCACATTTACGGTGTTATTGTGGTAGTGATGCATCAAATCTAAAATCAAACTACAGGGTCTTAAAATAGAGATCTCAAGCTTTAATTTGAAAAAAAGAGCATAACTTTGCGATGATTTTTCACGGAGTTATCGTCAGTCAAATTTGGCCAATTTTTGCCTAAAATTTTTCTATGCCATATTTCTTTTGAGCAGTGTATATATTTCTTCAATAAAAAAATAACACTGATGCACTACAATAACATCTTCTTATAAAATTCAGTATTATTAAACTACTTCTCATATAAATAATCAGACATATCCTTTTAATTATGAAAAAAGTCATGCCTGAAGAAATGAAATCCCTAAATGTTTCTTATAGTGAAAAACAAGTTAATTGAAAACTTACTTGTACACATTTCCCAGATCAACAGAGTTAGTCCATATATATCGCTCTCTTTTCGTGGCTCGTAACTATGAAAAAGTTCTGGTGCTTGCCAACGGAAAATTTCAGTTCTTAAACGTTCTTCGTATTCTCTGTCCTGTTTTGGCTGTGAGCAAAACAAAAAAATAATAAAAATAAAAACAAAATAAAGATAATAACGATATGAAATGGTGTTATGAGCATGTGGAACTTGTAATTGTCTTAAAATTTAGATAGAGAAAGATGTTTAAGAATAATATTATTATTTTTTATATAAACAACAGAAAAAAATTTCTCTCTAATTCTATAACTGGTATCCTTGTTTGAGTATCATCTTTGTGATTTCAATGTTTTAAAGTTCATATTTTTATTAGCTTTTATAGAGAAAAATGTAAATTAAAATTACAGGAATTTTGAAATTATATATGTACTTATTACATCATTTTCAACTTAATTTAACAAAACTTTATATAAAAAATAATGTACACATTTTTAGATACTTTTCTTGACCAAATCTGAGATCTATGTAGGGACAATTAATGCAAACATTCTAAATTTTAAATAATATTTTAACTTTTCCGATAAATATAATTTCTTTTTAATTTTTTATCAACAATCGCATACTTTGAGCTGTTATTAATAGCTAATCAGTAAATAATAATATTGTATCTTTTATTTAATAATAATAATGTTATACTTAAGTACTTTGATAAACAGTTAATACTGTTTTTATTCATATAATTATTATTTCTGTGTACAGCATAGTTACATATTAAAAAACATTTGTAAATATGGTCCTGCATCATTGAATATAATTCTCAAAAATTGTTTGAAAATAAATTGAATAACCCACTGCAATCTTAAGAAATAATACTGTAAACAATAATGTAATAATGCAGTTGAATAACTTTATAATATTTAAAAACTAAATGTAATTACAATTTTACGAAAATTAAGAAAATATTTCTAGATATGTATATTCCCATATCCTAAGTGCATAAAAAATGAGTATATCTAATTTGTTCGTATGCAAACATCAAATGTAATTATTGGTGATAAAAGCGATGCACGAATTAACATTTACATTTGTCTCCATCTAACGGAATTAATCATCATTAATATTTCTTCTTACATTCGCATGTTTTGTTTCAATTTTGTTCTCTAATTTTCCTCACGTAATTTGATTGTGCTTTTTGTAATCGTTCTTGAATAAATAGTTTACTGGTTCTATATATAATTTATTACGACACTTTATTCGACCACGGATTTCCTCGCTTTCAACAGTAATTACTATCTAATCAAATCAAATTAACAGGAATCTGTACGAGTTATTTCATATAAAAGAAAAGAAAATTAAAGTTTATAATTTAAGAGATATTGGACCTCCTTCAGTGTTCCTAAGGATCAAATATTAAAATTATCTTTAGTATTTCACTTCCTGGTATATCGCAATGTTAATCGCGTCTGTGAAAGAAAAATCGTGAGAATTGGGCGTGAAAGCCTATTGAAAATCGTGTAAAGTTCACAGAAATTATTCTGGATCTTGCACGTAGACGTTAGATAAATTAATTCCCACCATTCTAATCCTTGTTGCTTTCTGTGTTACCTCATAAAATTTATGATCACGATTTCTTCTTTGCTTTCGTACGTGCTATTCGAAGCAATTAACGTCATGCCGATTGGAATCCTGTTAATTGACTAATATCAGCGGTTAACTGAAAACCGCTAATTTAACTATCGAGATAAAATTTAAGTGTTGCACAATTAGGAGAACTTCCATAATATGAATTATTCCATCTTGCTTGTAGTCAGTATCATGTTATAAAATGATAGCGTATATCTACTTCCAGTGATAGAGAAAGTACTTAAACATTAGTTTTGATAAAAAGGGTGAATTAAGAGACTGATAAACAATTCATACTTGCGCTGTAACTTGTACAACATCAATAATTTGAGAATCTTAGCGAGTGATCGTTTCAGTAAGCGATAAAACTTAAAATAATTAGTTTTTAGTTATTTTCTATCCTTATTTTATTTTAAAAGCTGGGAATTTTAACTTGAAAATTACAGATTTGAGAAAGTAAATTTAGGTTGATTATCAACAAAAATTTCAATTGCCAAATTTATTTTAACCGGAAAATATAACATATTTAAATAAATAAAATTTCAGATGACTATAAATAAAGGCTTTTGACATAACACAATATTAAATTAGTGGCGATTAATTATTGTAACAAAATGAAATACTTCAATTATATTTTTAATACAAGTTTAATACAATTATGAAAAAACCTTGCACTTATTGTTAGTAATTTATTCAATATATCTAGTATACGAATTTTATGTTTTACCATAACTTGTTGAGCAAGATTTCATATCTTTAACAAAAGTATTTATAATTTATAACGTAAAATGGTACTGAATAAAATAACTGACAAAATGTAAAAATTCACACGTCTTCCAAAATGAAAAATGTGACATACCAAGTGTTAATTAAAAATAACTGAACAAAATAACGATTTACATCCGTTCAGTGTTTTATTTATTTAGCTAATTCATTTTCCTAAATTACACATGAGGCTCTGAACTGTATGGTGAAGCTTCATGCTTCAGCCGTTGAATGTAATTAAGAATGTCACGATACAGTGATTTCATTCAAAACTGGACATTTTTGTGAGAAACAACGCTCACAATTTCCTGCTGCGAAATACCGTTGGATGTAACAATGAAAAGACGGATATGACGTTACGTCTATTCAATTTTAGCCATTTATATATATCAGTCACGAAATAGTTAGAGAATAATATGTTTTGAAAAATTATAAGAAATTTCAGTGGTGGAGAATCTATCTATTATTTTGTACAATGATGTAAATAAAATTTAATCTCAAGGTATTTATAGAATTATAAAACAGCTTTTTGTTTACTTTATTAAAAACTGCAAATTTCCTTTGCGGTATACTGAAAAACATTATGAAATGTAAATAGAGTCTCAAAAAGATAATCATGGAAATTATATTATTAGGCCGATCAACTTTGTTTGCTTCTTTCGGAATAAATTTAGTTGCAAATTTTATTATACGATATATTAATTTTCACTTTCTTTTTTATTATTTTCTGTCATTTCTCATCAACCTTCATTACGTCACTAAACAAGTCGGCAGTATTTCAAGTTATTTGACCTGATTTCAATAATTAACTAAGGTCTTAATTTCAATAAAGATGCAAAGGTATAAAAGCTACAATGATATTTACTTTCTACATATTTAGAAAAGAATATTTTTGTTTATTGTAAATCTATTAATTTATTATTCTAATTATACAAACGTTTATAACAATGTAAATTCTAATTTATATGGCTAATTGAATATAAATTACAACTGTATGACATATACAAATAATCAATATAATAATTAATATAATATATTTATTTATTTAATACAATGTAAAGTAACATTGAATCATAAAATCTGTTTTTTTTTTTCGAAAATACTGAAAGTGACGATATAATATACTGTGCATTGAGTTATCAACTCAATCGATAAATCGCTTCTTGAATTTGTAGAATCTTTTTACCTTTCTGGCATTAACATAGTATATTACGAGAATGAGTTTTTTTATTTTTCATCTTTAATTTTTTGAATAAATGATAAATTTCGACAATTTTAACCTAATTAGATTTTTCCAATTGCAGTTATATAAAACTACTTGAAATATAATGCACACAAGGCAATGGAGATTTAAATGGTCTAAGAATTTTTTTCTTGTATAAAATTACTCAATCGTATAGATTTAGTTTAGTTTAATCATTCTTTACTTTAAATTTAAAACGTTTAATTTTGATTTTAAATATTTCTATTCTGAACAAATTCGTTTTAGAATTTTATAATTTTCCTTTAGAATACCAGAAAATCTGTACAACTAACGTAATTTTTACTTTCATGGAAGCCGGAAGCATATTTAAAACTGATTATTGAGGACATTGTAATCAACGGAAACATCCATACTTCGGTTATATTACGTTCCATTTTGGACCATAAAAATAAGTATTAAAATATATCAATTTGTTATATTCAAATCAAACTTTATATGATGTATGGAAACATTCACCTCCACCGCTCAATGATCATTTCTCCTAAATAGCAAAACGCAGTACGAAGCAGCACACATGCCATAAAATTAACTTGTACAGACTTCTACGTACCAATACATAGAAGTGATATATAATAATTGTCAAAAAAGTAAGACAGTACAGTTAACCTTAGCATTGTCCTCGTTTATAACACACGTTAAGAAGATATCTCTATATACATTTGTTCAAACAAAAGAAAATATTAAGATTTAAAGAAAATCTTATTGAAAGTTTGCATGTATGTGGTGATCATCAAAGTTGTTGATCAAGAATATTTTCAACCCCTTTACTTTTTCTTCGCCGTCAGTCATGAAAAACTGTAGTTAGTTTTATTGCTAAATTATTAATGTTGAAGCCAATTAGACGTGATTCAAGTAATTGTCATTTGAAAATACGTCGAACACCTAAATCGACTGTTCGAGTCAAAACGCCAGAAGTATCGATAACTGAGTTATTTGCTGCGTATAATTTAAAGTGGACCTTTGCATTCTGATTTTAGCAAAATTGAACCGTCAATATCGATGTTTACTCAAAATCTTGTCCCATAAGTGCGGACAGCGACAAAAAGACGGCTTTTCTGATCAGTACCATCGCCAACCGTCTTTACTGATGATGGCCGATTGAGTTTGCCTCTTGTTGCAGGTAACTGCCAGGCTGCTGACATTTCCAAGCTGAAGTATCAAATCTTTTGTGGAAAAAGCACATTTGATGAAAATTCTGGTTAATATTGTTATTCCCAAAATAACGTCTTCTAAAATTTGAACGGTCCCGATTTTTCCAGAAAGTTCTGTTTCCACCTCTATTACCACTAACACTTATAATTTCTAATTCTGTAACTTCTTTTGATAATGAATCTTTACTAACAACAAAATGATACGATGGAGAAAAAATTGGATCGATTGTTGCAACACTACCGGAACGTGTTATTTTTTAAATTATATCTGCCTAATGAGCTAATTTTGTAAAATCAGTTATTTCACTAATTTTCAAGATTGTTCGTTCATTTGATGGCATTTGCTCCAGATACAAACTTCTTAGAACTGAATCGTTACACTCATCTGATGAAAGATGTCTCATTTTTTGTAGAAAAACCGAGCATTTTTTATCTTCTAATTCTCGTTTATGAAGAAGTCTTCGAAGTCTTGATTTGTTAGTTTCATTTAAAACTCCTGTCATTTTGCTTTTAAAAGCTTCGTATTTCACGAAATCCGGAAATGTTTCTAAGATATCAGAGACTATTGGCAAAATGGATTGTTCCATGTTCACTATAACATATGTAAATTTCGATTCATCGCTCACAATTTGGGCTACTAAAAAAAGCTTCAACTTGCTTAAACCATAAAGTTGAATTTTCCTTGGAGAAATGCAGCAGCTTTACAAGACAAGCGGTTTTAACAGTAGCCTTCGGAACAGACATGTTGACATTTTGCTGTGAATGAGTTCCTCGTTGAATTGGTTAATTATTTGTGGATATTGTTAAGGTCTACACCACTTGGGTTCTGGTGTATGGAATATTTCTTCGTTTTGTTTTCAATAATTATTGTTATCTCGCACATTTTTTAATTTATAACGTCGGGGTCACCAATTAATATGGATATTGTCTTTCCAAGTTATAAATAAATTAAACAATTAATTCGTAAAGATGACTGTTATTATTAAATTGATTCTGAATATTTATTTCAATACGCGTGTCTGATTTAAGGTTTGAAAACAAAAGTAATGAATTATTTTGTTATTTAATAAAATTGAAATGTTCAAATGACAACTGCTTGAATTGCATCTAATTGGCTTCAACGTTAATCATTTCTCAGTAAAAGTAAGTAGAGTTCTTTATGACCGACAATGGAGGAAAAACGAAGGGGTTGAAAATAATAATCTGGAGCCAGAACTTTGATGATCACCACACGTAAAGCGATAATAACGTCACTTACTGTTAAAAATATTTTTTACACAAAGAAGCTTAATACAGTATATTAAATATCACATAATAAAAATAGTTGTATATTAAAGTTGTTTAAAATATTCTACTAAATGAATTAAAAATTTCCTCACGATTTTAATTAACTCTTACGTATTTTTTCGTTTGACTATACATCCACGGTATTTTCAAAAACCACCAGGGAAACAATCTTTAACATAATTAGATATAAATGCACAGAATGATTTGTGAATATAAATTTCATTATAAATTTGTCTATCATGGTATTCATTTCTAAATAAATAAGCACACGATAGATAAGAAAAATATTAGGAAGATTGTTAAAGGATTACGACATGTTTTTTTATGGAACATTTTATACCTCCGTAAAATGATAGAGCACTTATTACAGTACGTTGCACAAATGTTCACCCCACATACTTTTGATGACTTGAGCTGTCAGTATTAATTCGTAATGTATAAAAAATAAATTATGTAAAATAAAATTGACGTACTAACATAAATATTAAGCTGTATTTCATAAAACCTGATTTTTATACTTAAATGTACTGACTTTGTAAATTCTTTTTATTTTTGTGTTTATTTATTTCATTTTCCATTCGAAAGAATCGTTTGTAAAGGTTAGAAGGTGAAATGCCTCACGGAAAAGAACTTTCTTAAAGAGAAAAAGCTATGATTAATACTTTTCGTATCGAAAACAAAGGTTACAATTACATCGCGAAACAAGTAGATTGTTCAAGAAGAGCTATTGCCGATTATGTTGGTAAAGACATAGTCATGGTGAAATGAAACATGCAAGTTGCTCTCCAAAACTGATTTTTTTAATTCAACAATGTCACTGATTCAACTGCGAGATGATTGGAAATTAAATGTTGCAAAAAATACTCTTCACTGAATCATTATAACTTCTCTACACATTATTAGAGCGAAAATGACAACGGCGTCGTAATGGAAAATGGAAGATGAATCAGTGAATTCATTTGCTGAAGTAAGCATGAGTACAGATTGGAAAAATGTAGGTAAAAATATGTATATTTATTTTGTACGAAACGAATGTTTTATAGTTACAATTTATGTTTTGTAGGTTATATTTAATGACGAACAAAAATATAATCTAGATGGGCCAGGCGGATTTATATTGGAATTATATTATTATATTATATTTTATATTGGAGTTTATATTAGAACGATAAGCGAAAAGATGTGAAATATTTTTCAAAACGCAACTTTGGTAGTTGCTTAATTATGTTTCGAGCGTGTTTCTTGATTCAAGGAAAAAGTACCATAGCATTTATTTTCCACAAAATGAACAGTAATAATTATACCAACATATTAGAAAATTATTTAAAGTCCTATTGGACAGAATAATAATTTTCATGCAGGATAATGTATCGGTTCACGAATCTGCACGTATATTAAGACGGTTTGACGAAAATAACATTCCGATATTGCAATGACTTGCAATTTACTGATGTTAATTTTATAGAAAATTTGTAAATATTGCTACGAAAAATTTGTTCAAATAATCGTACATACACAGACATGGATAAATTAGAACTTGTAACAATGATTCTAGACCAATGAAACAATGTACGGGGAAATATAGTATAAAAATTTATTAGTAGTATGCCAAATAAAATTTTCTCTGTAATTAGTGGTAATGGGAACGCGATAAGTTATTAAGTTTTATATTTTTGTTAATAAAATATAATAAAGCAGTTTTTCCTAAACGAATATTTAAGTTAACGCGCTAATTTCTTTACATAACTTGTTTACACATTACGAATTAATACTTCAAAAATATTGGTCATAATTTTCAGCCGAGAACTCAGATTAATAAAAACAAAAGATTGTGATGACCTATATGAAGGCAATTGTGATCCGAAGGTCCACTATCTTTCAGAACATTTGTAATCTGAGAGCGCTGAAACACAATCGTTCCGAATAGTTGATATTTTGTTAAAAAAAAGGACTACTGTCCCAATTGATCGTAAATGAAGAATAGTTATTTTTTAAAAGAATTCTCCAATTTAATTTCAATAATAAAAAGTCATCCTTGTAGGGTGTTGTATACTTATGCAACATACTGTAGATAGGGATAGGCTTGTATGAATCCGGCCGTCCAAAGACGAGCGCGGATATGCGACCTCACGCAAACGAGTAAACGCGAAACGCAATACACTGTATTGTTAAAGTAATTAAACAAATCAAGCGGCAAAGTAAAATGCAATAAAGAAATGAAGATATATACTTACGCTATTGACGTGCATCGCCAATTCCCATCCACCGAGTTTAACGATACCATTAGAAGCCAAATAGACGCAATGCGAGTTGATGGCAGTATGCACGTATCCGCGCATGTGAGAATGTCTTAAAGCATCGGATAGTCTTCCTCCGCATCTCGCGATACCTTGTATAGATATTCGTTCACCCTGATCATGTAGATAATGATAAAGGGTACAATCAATGGATTCAAAAATTGACACTAAACCATGGTCGTCTGTGTAAGTACTGGCCATCAATAGCAGCACATTTGGATGACGTATTTCTCTAACGAACAAAAAATGAGACAAAATAAAAATAATATGAAAAATTACTTGTTTCTTTTATTAAAGAAGAGAATAGGAAGTATGCAGAAGGAATTTAAAAATTAGAACAAATTTAAGAAATTTTTTCCGAACTTTTTTTGAATGAATGCGTAGTTTTTATTTGATAATTATTAAGGCAAGAGATAAAAAACATTAACTCTAGAAAGGCAGATGAAAGGATATTTTGACTTATTTTTAAAACGTTACTACAGGCAGGTTTAAAGATATATCTATAATTCAAAGCTGCAACTCAATTATAGGCATAATTTAACATGTATTTTGACGTGTAAATGATAATTGTAAGTATAATGAAGTAGGACAATATTGTATACTATCTATTGCTCAAAAGCATTTGACTATTAATTATACAGAGATATAAACAAACTTAACATGTTAATGTATAAGATTGTTTTCATATCTTTTATCATGAATAGTACGTATACGATTCAAACGAGTAAAGAAATGTACAATTTTTTAAATATATGTTATTCTTATAAAGAAATATACAATTTCATAAATATGTATACTTCTCATAAAAGAGTATTCTTTTACCTCAATTGGTAATTTCAATAATTTTATTTTAAGAGTGATACTTACGAAAGTACATCTAAATCTGCTTTCACAGCGTCTCTGCACTCTGGATGCGAATGCCTCTTCAGAGAAACTCTAGTATTTTGCCACTCGGCAAAAATTAATTCCAGATATCGATCTTCTGTACCAGCTACCCATCCGATTTCGAAAATTTCTGACGGCGGTATGTGCGGCACACCCGGTATAAGAGATATCGGTTCATACAATTTACGTTCATTGTCATACTTATTGTTATTAGTTTTGGTTAAAAGATCGACTCTTTTTTTATCCGGGCTGGTCGGTGCTTCCGTCTCCACGTCGTCAGAAAATCGTCTACGATCTATGAATGCTTGCAAAGCATTACGGTAAGATTCGCTAAAATCAAAGAAAACGGTATTCTAAATTATTATTTATGAAGACACTACTATAAGTTTAATTATAATATTATAAGTAATTATAAGTAATTCATAATTGATACGACAGCATTATTTTATTGTGTAGATGGTACAGTGTTGTTGAAGTTTAAAAATTTACAAGTAATTAAAGAATATAGTACTGTTTTATATTTATTATTTTATTTTGACTAGCTAAATTATATTTAAAAATATGAGAATTATTGGGTTTAATAGATCTAATCAGTTAAGGGATGAATATATGTAGCAATATTGTGTACAAAATATAAATTAAAAATATTATTAAATACTTGTAAATAGTATAAAATATTATATGAATATTGTAGGTTTATATTACAATGTAAATTACTATTATAAAATATTTATAAAGGAAATAATTGCAAAAACCGGGTATTAAAATATTCTAAAAATATATATCTTAGTTATATAAATTATTGTATATATTTTTGTACCATATTATGAATGATACAAAAAAACTGTTATGAGAATACTGATTACAGTAGCACCATATTTAAAATACACATTAGGAGTATAATTATTAACTACTAAATAAGTTTGGAATGTTATATAATATTATAATTCCAAAACATCTATTGAAAAAATAGAAATAATAACAGTATAAATAATACTAAAAAGTATTACAAATACATGTATTATACATAACTGCACCATTTTAAAAATACTAATTAACGTTATAATTGTATATTAGATGTCCATAAAGTATGAAATTTATTTATTTATATAGTATGTTAATTGTATATGACAAATTATGGCTGAAATATTTATTAAAAAATTTCTTCTTAAATTAAAAGTAACAATAGAATCAGTAATGTAAATTAATAGTATAATTGCTAAATATTATTTTGTAAATATATCAAACTTTAATAATATGTATATTTATTACACATATTAATATTAGGTAATAAATTATCGTTACACGATATTTATACAAAACTGGCAACAAATAGATTTCCTTTTATCTAATAAAGATTATAATAAAAATTCGGTTATTTTTTAACAACTTATAAATATTTAAAAATATTTTTCGAAAAGCACTGTTTAATATTTGTTAAAATTAATTCATTTATTTTGTATCTTATGTGGTCGATTTAGTAATCGTTTATACATTTACGTCGAAACATTATTTCTGCACGATATTTATCCTTTATAATTCACTTCACTACTATTATTTATACTTACCGTTATTTCAATTTAAAGATTACTTACAATGATAATCACTATATATATTTTACGACACATAATATACAGAAATCCGCACATGACAGATGACAATTCGCACGACGATCGTCTTTTTACGAAACGTTACGATAATGCGTCAAGAGAACGTGATCGATTTATTTTCATGATATAAATTCAATGCAGAAATCGAAAAAAGACAGGAATCGTGTTAAAAGCAAGAAAACATTGTAACTACTTCAAGAATAAAGTATAACACGAACTGGTTCAGAAGAACCACCGTGGACGCTGTCAATTTGAATTATCCTTTTATAGCACATGCGACAAATAGGTTAAGACGTTTATCGTTTCCACGGGTGAAAATATAACACTTACCTGACAGTTCGTCTGCGACTATATCTTATTCCACGTCGTTTTTTTACTATATCTGTCATTTTTTGAAATGAAATAAATGATTGACTTTTTGTCTATAAAACACGATATTATCCTTCTGGTCTCTAACACCGCCGATACTGTATATACTAGATCGAATAGTCAATCGATATTAATAACAATATTACCCCAAATTCCCTATTGGCCATTGCCGAATTTCTTAAATCTAATTGGCGCGCGTAAATTTGAATTCGGCAATTGAAAAAGAAAGTTAATTCATTAAAAACAATTGTATTTATATACATTTGACAAGATATTCGGATAAATGTCAACCGAGTAACGTTATTCTATTCGAGTTCCGAAATTCTAACAAATGTACAAGTAAATTTCGTTGTAGTTCGATGTTCGCAGCATGTAAACGATTTCCCGCGGAAGGTGTGGTGATAATGATCGCTATTTTCTCGTGTTCAGTGAGGTTTAACATGATCACAATGAGCCGGAACCCGACCTAACATTGAACTTTCGAAGGAAAAAATACAAGTGCTACGTCACTTTGGAGTTCCGTACATATATACACCAGGTGCAGACTATTTGCTCTATTAAATGCAGGACTTGTTTTATGTGTGTGTATGTACTTATATCGTTTTAAAATGTGTAATGCAATGATTTATTACAGTATCTAAAAACAAATAATGTTAATTTGTGAAAACGTACAATGTAACCGAGTGAAGTTAGCGGCTACTATTTTCTGCTCGTTGTTATAAAGTGTATAGGGTATAATACATATTATATATATTGTATAATGTGTAATATTATATTGTAATATATTATACTTTAAATTAATATTTAATCTATAAATATTGTATAAAAATATTTTCAAATTTTATATCTTCAAAATGTATTTAATAATTTATTTTTTATATTATATAGGATGTCACATTAGAATTGTATCACCCAATTATATTCTAAACTATTTCTTATTTAGAAAAATGTTTGCAAAAAACGTTATTTGGCTTCAAAAGAAATATTTAATTATGGACAGAAATGTTGTTTAAGCGAAGAACTGAGATTTCACAATTATTCTTGTTTCTCTATCGTAATAAGACGATGTAATAATTTTATTAGATAGACAGAATGTATTATTATTTATTCGCTAATTGTATGATTTCAGTACTCATTTCAATGGAATTTAATCTGTAAACTTTCTATGTAAATATGTGTGTTAAATAAATTTGAATAGACTTACTTATTTAAGCCACACTGCTTTTGTGCTGGATTCCACAAATTTCGATCTCTGTGAATGATATCCCTACAAAGAAAGAAAAAGCAAACAAACATTACATGTGTAAATACTTACACATACAAGAATATATGAAATTTTAATTGTATTTTGCGAACTTCATTAGGCATTTGAAAATTGCCTATATGTAATATTAAAATATTACATTTTATGAAATTGAATAAATTTAATATAAAAGTCATTTGAACTAAATATATTGACGTATAAGTTTTTTCACTATTTACAATCGTTATTTACAAATTAAAGTGGAGTAGTAATTCTTTCGTAAGTAAAACTCGCTTTCAATGCATCCGTAATATTTTACGGGAAATTATATTGATTACTTTGCTTCGTTCCAGATAATATCGTAGTTTTATTAAACTTAATCCACTTTTCCATTTCGTGCGTCGGTTGCAACGGTACGGGTAGTATAAAGTTATTTCGAAATATTAGTAAAGTCTCTAGGGAGAAAAAGGACGAGATGCACCAATTTCATTCGAGCGCAATCGAAATAACTAGGCAGGTCAGTAGAACAACTCAACCGGGAAAAAAAAGAATTATAGTACCGCGAAAAGTGAATAACCTGTAACGTTTGTTTCTCGTTCGCGAAATTCCACTTATACTTTCTCCGATTCCTTTTTCATGGATCGTAGAGCAACGACAAGATTATTTTTGTTCCTACTTAAACGATCCTTTGTTCTTTCTTTGTATTTCGCATAGATAACCACTTCTCCGAAAGAATAAAAAAGAATCAAACAATATTTACTTTAAATAAAAAATTTCACATTTTGCACCTTATTTGAGAAGGAAATCACAATGAACAGATCAAGAAAATCAATTTACTATTTTTTTTATATATCTATAGTTTGGAACATACTTATAACATTATTTTCATAAATTTACAATATTTTAATATATTTTTATTTTATATTCATTTCATAAATAGTATAGCTTTTACATTGAAGTATTATTTACAAGTAGCTATGAAAATTTGCAAAATCGTTTCCAATTCTTGACAGAAATATTGAGATAAAAATTTTATCTATCTGTTGAAGTACTATTAAACAATATTTTATTTTAAACAGTTAAATTTAAATCATGTGCAATAAAACTACAGCTATTGGTAAAAAATTACCACATCGATCTTTTACCCCACTGTTTTCAGCTACATCTTCGAAGGTTAATTATATATTTCGGAAAATTACATATTTCTTTTTTCGGAAATGTAATTACGTTATAGTTCCAATAAATTTAAAACTATCGTTGGTTTCATTAACCTCTTGCGTTATTAAATTCTATTGAATTAAACATTTTATGTATAAATATGTATCATTCTATTGTATGTATTACATTTAATGCATTAAATTAAATGTACAGAAATAGATACACTCTTGATTGGTGAAATCAGGCGTAAACGGCAATTTCTTCAATTGAATTCAAACATTTGAACAGCATTCGTTTAAGAAATCTTCACAATTAATTAAACTCTGCACAACGATTCAAACAGCCAGTGGGTGAAATTGATAGTAATGACGTTGAAATTTCCCGGTCCACAAATGTTCTAGTAATTACAGCATTTTCTGTTCACACTAACCTCATGTTACGATTGCTTATTATAAACAACATAAACTACAGATAGTAATCGCACCAATGCTGATATGCAAACTTTTCATAATGGAACTCGTTTAATTTTTTAAAACTATTATATTTTTTATCGTTTTCAGGCCTTTACTTTTCATACTCTTAAAAATATGCCGAATTGAAAAAAGTGGAGTTGTCTTATATATTGACTGTGAACGATATATTAATAATTATACGGCCCAAGTTTATGTAGGGCAGATATAATATTTTTTAATTTTGGGAATTTCGAAATGTAGAAATATAGACGTTCCAATTTTGGAATTTGAAAATATGGAAATTTTCATTTTGAAATTTTTGAATTTCGGTATTTGTATATGTGAAAATTTAAAAATTGAAGATACAGAAACTTAGAAATTCAGAAAATTGGGGATTTAGAAATTTTTGAATTAGAGAGTTTCGATTTGGAAAATTTAGATACTTGAAAATTTGTTTGTTTAGAGATGTGAGAATTTAGTGATTTGAAAATATGAGAATTTCAGAAATTTAAGAATTTGACGCAGAAATTTAGGATTTAAAGATTTGAAAAATTAGAAATTTAAAAATTTAGAAATTCGGAAATTATAGATTTGCAAATGTTCAAGTTTACAATTTTCTTCTCTAAAATCGTAGCTAAATAGTTAATGACTCCTTTAACTACATTCATTTTTAGCTAAATAAAACTTACAGTTTAAGTATTATGATAATAAATATACTTTATGTTCACAAATTACATTAGTTTTCGACTTACACCAGCTAGTCTCAAACTAATTATTACGGAAGTATGAGTTACGGTCTTATAAAATAATCACATTCTTATTATCATGTATGAATCGTTATGTACATATACATAGTAACCGAAAGTTTGATGAATTTTAAAAACAATAATTATCAATTATCATTCTGAAAATTGATTATTATGCTAACATTTAAAACGTAATTGAAGAAACGAATCGCACTTATCATTCATAACACCGTATTAAAGAATTAATTTAATCAATTAACTTAATGCAACACCGTGAAATTGTCAATTAGAAATGCAACAAAGAATATACTTCAATCAGTTTATAGTTAATTGAATCGATTAATTAGTTGGATTGATCTTATAAATATTAATGAGCCGAAATTTAACGAAGTATTAATTAAGCGATCAATAAATAGCGTATCAGGTATAGTAGCAATATTGAAAATTATAATTCCTTCTTGGTTTTATCGATAAACATGAGACGAAAGCTAATGAAGACTTTCCAATTTATACATGAAGGCTAGTCTCGCTGCTCGTGTGTACAAGGATTCGAGCTTGTTTGAAATTCACGTCGTAACGTAACGGTGAGCATCATTTGCAAAATAATCACGCTTATTCCTAGCTCAGTTAGATTAGGAACGTCTAGGATAAGAGGAGATACACGTAATGATAACAAAATGTTATAAGTAATCTGGAGATCCTGAACGTAGTGCGCTTCCGTGATTTGTATCTGTTCGAATGTGGGCAGTTACACGATCATCGGTGAATCTTTTTAGACCCAGGAACCAGTTTTCTTTTACTCACTGTATATGTTCCTGGTCATTATGCAAAAAATATAATACGGGAAATGATTCAGGTCGGTCGCAATTTAATTTCACACAATTTTCAGTAAAATTTTAGGTGTTAAGGTCTCCCAAAACTAAATATCATAAAATTAGGTATTCATCATCATTTAATTTCAAAGTGGGGTAATTATTTGAAAAAAATAGAAATAATAATAACAATAGACAAAACTTGATACGATATTTTTATCTGTAAGCAATCTACAAAGAAATTAATTTTCTCTAATATTTGGCCAATGGAAGTTTGGGTGATTAATGGTATTGGAAAAATGTTTGTTTTGAAAGAGGTGTAAGTCCACCCTAAGTTGAAATTTTTTTTTGCTGAATACATTACGATATAATTTGGCTCGGTATTTGCGTAATACTGACAATACTGTGAAAAGCTATAAATTGGAAAATATTGGCGGTATTTGGTATCATTTCTGATTTCTACTAGCAGCTTACAAGTTCTAGTTCAGTTTTCAGTAAATAATCAACAAAGTCGACACGGTTCTTGTTTTAGTATCGGTACATAAAACCCCTTAACAATTTCATTATTATTTGATGATTAATTACGAATGTTTATTTATTCTATTAAATAAATATGGCTTAGAACGATTCCAACCAAAATAACAACTACGATGCACATGAAAGTGAAGTTGCAAGACTTTAAGGTCGGTAATATAATTTAGTATGAAGACAATTCAATAGCCTCAACGAAATCACGATCTCACCGGTGTAACTTGTAAGAAACCATAAATTAATGGATAGAAGTTTGAATGAAGATAAGCCTTTTAATATAGATAAGCCAGTTAATTTTGATATCTGTACAAGTGCAGTATGAATGTTATAACACATTGGATTAAAAGAAATTTAATGCTCTTCTTAATTATTTGGAATGTTACATATGGTATTTTGTAGGGAAGCGACTTTTTTTGTTTTGTTCACAAAAATCTTCCTATTATGATTGTTATTTTTTTAAAGTTAGTTTACAATGCATTCTTCTAAAGTTTGATAAAAAAGGAGGTTAAAAAATAAGGTTAAAAATAAATTGATATTATTATTAAAACATTTTTTAACCCTTATCAATTTATCAATTTTTTAATAGTCGAAGTTAATGAAAGATACAAGTAGTACATTAGTTATTTTTGAAATTGTATAAAAAATTGTATAAAAACTGTATAAAAAAATCGACTGTGATGATTTATTCAGATTTTTTATTAAAAGGAGCGTATTCTACATGTACGATAACACAATATTATGAATTATATTTAGTTTAATATTGCTATCATTGAATGATTCCAATTTTTATTAATTTTTTCCTTTCACAAATAAAAGGACACAAAACTACAGTTATTAATTAGATAATGACAATAACAATTATTAATTAGAAAAGATATATTTTTCTGTATTTAAAGTAATTTAGAAAGCATTTCTCCTTGTAGAATATGTTACTTCGTTAAAGAGAACAAAGTTTGTTTAGATGCTACAGCTGTTAAGCAAGTTCTGTTATTTTTAGTAAATGATGAACGAGTTACCAAGGAAATAATTATTCGAAGTCATCTCGTTAAATCGAAAGTGTAGGAAACTTATAGAAGTCAATTTCTCCGAGAAATAATTGATTGGTAGCCATACTACAGGTTTCGTTTATGTGATCTAGATTAGCGAAAATAAAATAGAAAATATATACATAGGTGTAAAGTACGCATCCTATGGCCGCATTTCATATTTTTCGCACCAGAAAACTGGTCAACCAGTTGCATCAATTTCTGTGTGCACTTATTTACTATCAACGTTGAACAAGATCGAGAAAAAATATTTCAATTTCTTACCATTTTCAGAGTATA